TGTTTAAAATATGATGTAATAGAATAAAATTTATTTTATTACATTTTATCGAATACCTTTATTTCCTTTCTCCAAATTTAAGTTATAAAATTGAAACAAAAAACTAATTTCTTGTTTACTATTCTACATGTCATTTTGTTTACTTTTTAAATATTCAAGCAACGTTAATGTAATTGGTAATTATCTATTTCATTTCTTTGGACTATATTTCAATATCTAATGGTCATAGTGAAATGAAATTGAATGGGGTGAAGAAATTAAATAAAGTTAAACACATTAAGGTTATCGTTTTATTTGTATTTATAATAACGGAGCTGTAAAAAAGAATTATCGTTGGATGAAATTATATGAAAGGCAGATTATCATATTTAAATCCGCTTCATTATATTTTAAACAATCTAAACAATAAGAGTCATTTTATTTCATATTTTTCACAAATTGAAACGCCTTGAATGTTTTCGTACAATTAAAAAAAAATAAAAATAGAAGTGTGGTGTGTCGAGGGCTAAGACTACAGAAAAAATTCATCTAGCCATGTTTCCAATAAAGTTGAAAGATCATTCCTCCAAAAATTGCAAATGCCTTGACATAAGGGTTGTGGATGCACCTCCATAAGTGGTAAAACCTCTGGCCTATTAACTTGCCAGCTCTTCTCGCATACCCATTAAGTGTGTAATTGTGGCTACCACTGTACTGTCTTGAAGTTATACAATGGACCACATACACTTGTAAAACAGTAGAAAGGGCTTGAGCTCCAGATGTGTTAGGAAACCTTCAAAGAAAAGAAGAAAAAGGAAAAATAAATAAATAAAAGGAAACCCTTATTAAATATTTAATTAACGATTTAGTGGTAATGTAAAAAAGTAAAGATGTATTCATCTTTTTCCACCAACGAAAGTAAAATAGAAGGATAGATATATTCTTATTTTACACATATTTTCACTAATTGAATTGAAAGTAGAGCCATTTTCTAGTTATTGTGCACACTCTAAAAATTAGGTCTTTCTAATTGTAACTTGATAACATTACCAGTCCATAACAATCAAATTCAAAGTTTGATCTTATGAATGAAGCAAATTCGTAAGATCATGTTAATTGAAATAAATTTTGGATTGTTGGATAAAGGGAAACACAATAAAATTCATAAATGTCTTAATAATTTTGAAATTATCTAAACATTCAAGAATTAAGATTATTCTAATTATTTGCTCTCCTTCAGACCGCAATAAACTAATAATTTTATAACTATATATATATATATATATATTATTTAAGGACATATTTAATATATATAAATTTTAATACATTAATATCATTAAATAAATAAAATTTATTTAAAAAATATTAATTGTCAATTATATTAAAATGTAATACACATTTATTTTTTAAAATGCTTAAACTTAACTTAAAGTTAATAAAATCGATTAAATAATTAGTACGTGGATTTCATGAAGGGAAAAGGCATATTATGTTTGAGATTCTCTTTTATTGATTAGTTGGGATTCTTCTTTTCTGAATTAGTTGGGATCCTTCTCTTCGATATTAGTTAATAGTTCGGATTCTTTTGTTACTCTTTCTTCAAATTACAACACATAAAATGTAGCAAACATAATTTGCAAAAAGGGATCTTCATAACTGAGGAATATGATTATTAACTCACTAAAATTTTATGATTCTTTTTTTGTCAAAGCAAACTAGGTGTTACTATCATAATTCACTAAAATCTCAAAAAATTAAGTAAAAAGGAATTAAAGGGTACAGAATTAAATTTATGTTCCCCTTTTTTGTTATACAAACCAAAACTCTTGTCCAAGTTTTTTTTTGTTTTAGTACATGTACTCACTCAATGTATTTGATGTTATAATAAATTTAATATACACACGTACAAGATTCTTAATATTGCTTACACAGTTCTATTATAATAATAATAATTCTATACAATTGAAAAATGAGTCCATTTAAATTTAAGTAACATTAATTAATACTTATGCATTATTAATATATATATGGAGAAAGATCTTTTTATACTAATACAAGTCTAAAACTCTTATATATAATTGATCTAAACTTTTTATTTAATTTATATCTAATAACTAATAAAGTAATAAGTTATAACCCGTTAAATGTAAATTAAATGAAAAATTTAAATTAAGTGTAAGAATTTTTAAACTTATATTAGAATAATAAATCTTGTCCATATATATATATATATATAAAGTCATATTGATTGTTTTTAAAGTTCTTTATAGAGGATTATGATTATTAATTATTTTAGATACAAATAGATTAGTTTAAACACGCTTAATATTACATATCTATATTATCATGCTTTTCATAAAAAATAATCTATACATGCATACATAATATGTAAATAACATGATAGTTTGATAGATGTTTTATAAGTTACAATGACTTCAACCTATCTTTCCCTATAGCATGACTGTTTCCATAAAATAAACTTAAACCAATTGTCATGTGTGTATCGTTACAGAAAAAAATAAAACAATTATTAGCTAGAAAAATATTAGGTGTTAGGATGTTTTTCTTAGTATATATTTTATTTAATAAAATTTTAATTGTTGATGTAAATATGATAGATTTATACTAATAATATAATGCATTATATTAATATTTGTGTACTGATACTAAGGAATGGATTCAGATGTAAAAGTAGCCCATTATTTTTAAAATTTATACTTATAATTTTTTTAAAATGAATACACAGAAACACATATATACTATTATTATTAGTTCTTTTGAGTATATTAATTATAAAAAAAATTATTGTTATTTTGATTAAATGTTTGTCTTTAAAAATTATTTTCTAATAGTTAAGTACTTAAAAATATAAGATATTACATTAAAGTTTATGTATTTTTAGTCTCCCTTCAATTAATTTCTGACTTGTTCATGTTATTGTATATTTTTTTACTAATAAATTATCTATTAATATAATGTTTTATATTATCATTATAGACTCATAATATCAATAATAATATTTTAAATTTATTAGACAAACACCGTAACAACAAAGGCTAATTTTAGACCAAATTATTAGTATACAACAATTTTTAGCGTATACCTACTACTTATTTTTATTTATTTATTTAGCTACAATTTATGATGCTATACAAGCTAGTTAGGATCTGTTTGTGAGGAGAAGGGTTATATAGAAGATAATTTACTTATTTCCAAATAATAGAATTATTTACTAATATTTATAATAACAAATATATAATACATTGAAATTATATTTTTATTATTTTATATTAAAAATATCAAAATCAAATATATTTATTTAAATTATTGTTTACCATTCTTTTCCTCTCCAAAATTGCTCTCCCAGAAATAAGCCAATAAAAAGAGGTGTATGTGAAATCTATAAGGATCTGCATTTCAATAGTATTAAACAATAGGGTATAAGGGGTAGAAGGGGAAGGTGAGGGCTACGAACTGATCGATGGTATTAATATTAAGTCATGCTATGTAATTATGATTGAGCTTTGTCAAACTCTTTATCCTTAAAAAAAACTATATTGATTCCAGTTAAGATAAGATGATGAAAGAAGATACTTAGAAATTAAACACAGACATGCATATATATATATATATATATATATATATGCTCATTCAGAGAGAGAGAGAGAGCATATACCCTACATGTGGGAATGGTTTGGGGACAAAGCAAAGAAAGCATATATAGTGCGTGCAAACAATTCACATGGGAGCATAACATGATCCTTCACAAGGAGGCCTCTCTTTTTCTTCTCTTTCACAGCTCATGCCCAAATCCCACGAGTCCACACGATTCTACATATCTTAATTACTGTTTGTAGCTACCTTTTAATGAAATGATTAATGAGACACGTCGCACCCCATGCATAACCACTACACCCTTATAAATAATCTTATGCACATGGCCTTTGTTCTCCTCTCTCAGATAAAGATCACAGCCCATTTGTTTTCACCAATCACTAACCCCTTCAAGTGGGGTACTCTTACCTTTTGTCTTGGAGACAATCTTTAAAAAATTTATCAAGAACGTGGACACGATTCGTTAGCATCAAATCAATTACCTAATTCCGTTTCATCTCTCAATTTTGGTACTATATGCCATTTTTCTTTTTCCCTTTTAACATTTAATTCTTCGGGCAAATTAAACAATCCAATATTTTTCTAACCACTACAAATATATCTAAACCAATCAACTGTGTTTGACCATTGGTGGACTCCTTTAATTTCCTTTCCATAACAATAGAACTTGTTGATATTGTAATTGACCAAAATACAAATAGACTTGCTATTTTGCTAATTAACTTGAAATGTCATCATCATTATGGAAGGGTTAAAATTAGTGTGTTGTCTGTGTGTGTGAGAGAGAAGATGATTTTCTAAAGGGAAATAAATAATAGTTACCAAATTTGTAAGAAAGATATGAGATTATTATAAGGGTATCCCACTAAAGAGACGTTCACAAGGGCACGTGGTGGCTGATTCCCACTACTCATAAATCTACTGGCGACTTTCTAGTAACACCGTTGATACCCAACCCCTTCTCCCAGCTGTTCATAGCTGTCCAATCCCTCCCCATTCCCATGTGACCCCACTGCACAAAAACTATACAGATACCCCCGAAGATTTTTTTTTTCGGATTTTAAACCCAAAACAAAACATAATTAAAAATCTCAGAAACAGTTTTCTCAAAAAAAAGAAAAAAAGAAGAAGAAAGAAAGTCCATGATTATTTTGTTTTCGTTCTTGTGACTTTCTTTCTTCTCTCTAACAACATTCCCTGGTGATTGCTGGGAATATACATATTTATAAAAGGGCTGTGTTGAGGTTCATTGGCTTCATTTCTTCTCCCTCTCGTTGACACATCCTTGCTACCTCATGCAATGTGCATAGATATATGTAGCATCTGGTAAGGACACAACCACCACCACCACAACAACAACATTAACATCTAAGGTTTGCGAAAATTCCTGTTTTGGTGTGTCTCAAATGGCACAATTACCTCCCAAGATCCCAAACATTTCACCAAGTTGGTCAGACTTCTCCTCTCACCAGAAGATGCCATTGCCACCCCTTAGCAATGGCACCACCACCAACACGAGCCATTATCAAAATCAGAACCCTTCTTGGGTAGAGTTCCTTGACTTCTCGTCCGCCAGGCGCGGCGCTCACCGGCGGACGGTGAGCGACTCCATCACCTTCATGGAGGCTCCAGTGAGGTGTGAAAATAACAATGGCAACGGTAATAACAATGACAATGAGTTTGACAAGTTTGACGATGAACAATTCATGTCCATGTTCACGGATGAAGTAGTGTTCTCTGGGGTCCCCGTTCCACCAACCACCTTGTCGTCCTCTAGTCCTTCAAGCCCGTCCGATCAGAACTTCATCAATGATGAGAAACAGACCAAGCAACATAAGGAGAAGAAGGAGGAAGAGGAACATCACCATAACCAATTGAAAAATGAACCCGATGAGGTTGAAAGCCAATGCAAACAGGAAATTACACAGCCTCCAAATAACACCAATTCTTCTTCTTCCAATGACAGAATTACTGATCCCAAAAGAGTCAAAAGGTAGTATAGTGATCAAACATTCATATGTTTCATTTATACATACTACTATATAGTTTAATTTCTTGGTAAATTAAGTTCCAATGACCCCATGACACAAATTGGATAATGTGTTTCTTCTTGCTTAAATGTAATTCTTTTAAAAAATTTCCTCGCATGATTTTGCTATTCTAGTATAACAATGGTTAATCACTTTCTATAAATTAGTTTTTATAATTGATGACTGCTTCTTCGTAAAGTTGTAATTTTTTATATACATGTTACTGAAAATGAGCCAACATAAATTGCTTTAGTATCTTCTTTTTCTTTGAATTCTGCTTCTAATTCTCGTTTTGCTTCAGAATCTTGGCAAATAGGCAATCTGCGCAAAGATCGCGAGTGAGGAAGCTGCAATACATATCAGAGCTAGAACGAAGTGTAACTTCATTACAGGTTTGTGACGTAACGTGATGTGACTATACTATAATAAATATTATTATTATTTTTTAGTTAGTGACTATATATAATAAATATTTTATTTTTCAAGTAAACTTTTATTTGGCATTATATAAAATTGGTTGTGTAGCAACAATAATAATATTGGCCTTTTTCCTAATCTGTTGACCCATGAAGGCCGAAGTTTCGGTGCTGTCTCCAAGGGTTGCATTTTTGGATCATCAACGTTTGCTTCTAAATGTCGACAACAGCGCTCTCAAGCAAAGAATCGCCGCCCTTGCTCAGGACAAGATCTTTAAAGATGGTAATTTTCTTCAATCTTTACTTGGCCAGTTATGATTATAAAAGTTACTATATTCAAGTTCGTTATATTTTCCTTTTTTCACTTATTTTATTATATAGTAAAAATATTATTAAAAGACTTATACAGAACTATAATAAAATTATAAATCATAAAATTTAGGATATTAAAAATATTAAATACTATAATTGTAATAACATTTTTAAATTTTACTTCGTGCAAGTACATACACGTAAAAATTATTAATTTTGTTAATTGAGTAGCAATTAACTAATGGCGGAAATTCAGAGTAATTAAGTTTTCTGATAAGTTTAGATATGGTCGATGAATGCATTGATGGGAACTTAATTGCCCTTCGAATTCATCGTGTTTGTGTGATCCTACGCCCTTATTGGTTTAGATTAATTCTCGTTACCGTCCATTTACTTTTGCCATAAAAGTACATTATAAATCCCTTGTAGCTAGGAAAAGTATATTGTTCACAAGAAGCTCACTTTGCCAAGCGAACCTAAACCTCGTGGTTATTCTACTTTTTTTTTTCTTTACGATTTTATTATTCTCATCACTAAGTGTTGAGTTTTAAAAGATTTTTTTTTATATATTGTATTTTTATCTCATTATTTATATTTTAGATAGAGTCTTTTAATGTATATCTAAGGATATATAATATAAAATTAATAAATAATTAATTTATTAAAAATTATAACATTTAATGTTATTAATATATTAAATTTTGTAGCATTATGTAAAATCTTCATTTAGAAAATTATATATAGTTTTATATTGTTCATTTTTGGACACAATTAAAATATAATATACACTTATTAAAAATGATTAATAGTATAAATTACAATGACCAAATAACTATCTTTGCAAATAGGAATTTAATTATGCATTCATTTAACTATTTAGGTGAGATACTGATAGATGAGAGTAATATTAGAAAAATAATTAACACGTTATCTATAAATGGCAAATATTTTAAAACAAATTTAAAAAATTAAAGAGAATATAATAAGATACAGAGAGAGTATAAATTTGTGTCTACGTAAGATTAGAATCTTTTAGGGTCACGTTCAAGTTTCTTATGAGAGAAAAAATTGTATCTGTACATGAATTTCTAAAAACAATTATACAATAAAAATGGAGATAAAGAAAAAGAGAGTAAGCAAATTAAAATGATTATATGATAAAGAGAGCTAAAAAAATATATAGTATTATATAAATTTATTGTACGGATAATATGACATACTCTTCTTATATCGATGTCACTTTGATTCGTGAAAGGTACATAAGTTATGTTAATTTACTTCTTGAGAGATAGAGTGGCATTAATTTGACTCTTAATTGAAATTGATTAATTTGTCCCTATGTGCCGTGCATGTCTGCATGCTAGATAGAGAATTGGGAGATTAATTTGTCTAGCTTTATAGTTAGTTATGCTTTAATTAAGCATACTAAGCTCATGGGACAATTTAGAGAAAAAAAAAGATTTAGTGTATTTATCAGGATGCGTAAAAGAATATGTACCTTACAACTGTTATACCTTGGTATTCATATTGAGACCATGACTAAACGGGAAACGACAAAATGTAAATGGAGAAAATGTACCTAGCATCTCCTCAAAGTTGGTTAACTGAAAAGTTGTACTAATATATTTTCCCTAAAGAAATAATAAAACAAAAGATAAGCCAAACTGTAACGAAGCGATGCTATTCAAATTGCACTGTTATTGTCCTGTTTTGGTGAAAGTTGCATACTATAATAACTATTTCATTAATTTAGTAGGGAGAAACAGACCAATTATGAAACTGCAGAGAGTTATATTGATTTTAGTGAAAGCTTTTGCATGCACGCGCATTTAAGTATGTGTCTGATCATGTGCCTTGTCTCCTAGTAAGTAGTTCGGGTATATCTTCTTATTCATTTTTTTAAAATAATTTTTTATAAAATAAATATTAAATACAAATATTCACTATTTTAAAAACATAAAATATATTTAATAATTAAAAGAATATAGAAATAAAAGATAAAATAATTTAGAATTATTATTGTTTACTAAACTTCCAATGTTGTAATAACATACATGCAGCTCATCAAGAGGCACTGAAGACGGAGATAGATAGACTGAGGCAAGTGTATCACCAACAGAACCTGAAGAAGATGGAAAATGTTGCAGGATCACCATTACCAACCTCATCACCGAACCCTCTATTTGATGCTCAAACAGAAAAGGAACAACTTCTCAACGCTTGAAGAGTGAGGACACCACATTATTGCTTGCCCAAGTAGATATTAGTTTACATGACACAGTGATTCTTTATACTTTCATTAAAAAGAAATTGCAGAGTTCTGGATAAGATATGGGAGGGAAAAAAGGGAAATAACTGAATAAAAAAAAAGGGAAGTTTTGAGTGTATTGAATGGTATCACGTACTGTTGGGTTGTGAGATGGTGAGAATTTTTATTAGTCAATTCATGAAGGGAAAAATTCACTGAGAAGAGTCACGTTGTGAGTGGTGAGGCCATTGGTTTGGTGGTAGGCTTCTGCTATGAAACAGCGCAGGCACGTGATGTGTTTACTTTAAAGGAAAGGGACCACTCAAAGGCTTGCATGATTGGAATGCAAGGGAAACACATGTGCAGCAGTGGCATCAAAAGAGAGGGTGGAAGAAACAGTTGTGTACTGCTTTAACTTGATAGCTAGGAGTGAAGGGTGGTGTGGTTTATGTCCATGATTCTTTCAGTTCTTTATTTGTTGTCTTTGATTCTTTTTTGTTTTGCTTCATGTTTTTCAATTTTCATGTTGGAAAACAAACAAACACAAGTGGGCTTGTGTAGGGATGGATGAAAGGAAGGGGTGTCAGTGAAGTCCAGCGTTTTATGGGTTTGGCTGTACTTATTATTACTTAATCATTTTTCGTTTCACATAATTAATTCAAGAAAGCAAAAATGTACATAGTTGACTCAATTCGCCTTGTATATAATGAAGTTTTAACCGTTTCACGAATTTTTTGAGTCATGGACTGATAGTACTTTCCTGTAACAAAAAGGGTACAAATCTTATGATTTAAATTACACTCGTGGGTTAAATTGTGACATATGTGATTTATGAGCGTGCAAATTTCGTAATGTGTTCTATTTTCTTTTTCATTCTTTTCTCTTTTGTCTTCCTTCTTGTAAAGCCTATTGATGACCTCTTTTGGGATTAAAAAAAAAAAGTAAATTGATTTGAGGGTAAAAAATAAAGGGAATCAGAGCAAAGAATTTTTTGTTCTTAATTTACTAATTTGAAGAATCAAAATAAAGTTAATTAGTCTATTATGGATTGTTATCCAAAACAAATTGCCTGTAGTATAAGGAAATAACTAAATTGGACCTTCATGCTTCATTCTTAAATATTAAAAGTCGGAGCATACTTATTGATCAAGAAAGGATCCAAAATGGCTCTTGGTCATGTTTTCCTGCCAAAGAATATTGAAGAAATACGGAAGATAAATATTTCCTCTCTACTTTATAGCACTAAATAATACATGCTACATTCAGATGTCAACAATTACCTACAGTAATTTTTTTAAGTCGTTAAGTGGAATCTAAGAAAACAATAAAGAAAATAAAAATAGAAACAACAATGTGGTAAGTATCAGAAACTAAAATATCTATAATACCAAGCAGATCCTATCAATCTCATTTTATTTGAAGGAAGATATTCTCTTCCAGGAAATGGAAAGCTATAACATCCATACCCGGGACTTGATGTGAAGTCCTAATGTAAATATACTCTTTGTCTTCCTTGAATTAAATTTTACACATATATATGACATTGACAAAATTTTTTAGCGTTTATATATTGCTGTGAGTGGCTGTTATGACATTTACACTGGCATGAATGTGACCTTTTGGCTGTCATGAGATTTACTGATAGTCCACTCTAGTGAATTGAAGTCCATGTACGTACTAACTACTGAATTTAAATCGTAGCCAATACGGTCATGGAGCATTAAACCTTTTAGAATTTTTGGTCCACTAATGTAGCTGTGATGTGAACATGCTTAACTACTGTTGCTCTTCAGTTTTACCCTATTGCTCATTATTATTATTTACTTTTCTAGCTTTCTATTTTAGAGAAAAAGTCGTACTATAGTGCCACGAGCACAGGATAATGGCATACATACCACAATTCACCAAATAACTTACAACATGACGATAGTTGTTGGGAAATTCTACTGTGTCAGTCTCAATATACCAAGTCTTCGGTACAACTTTGACAAGTTTAAACTGAAAATCTGCACGCGCAGATGCACCCTTACTTTCTAAAACAAACCAATTTTTATATTAATTCTTTTTATGCTAGAACTTTTCCTTTTATATATTTTATTCTCAATTCTCATACATAATTATTTTACTTTCTGTCATTTAATGTATTAAAGCACAGTTTACTTCCGTAAATAAAAATTAATATATAAAAGAAAAAACTTTTGATCAACAGAAAAATTAAGGGGTGGTGTCCTATCTTATGTTAACTTGAGGAAGTAGAGAAAAGTATTCTCAAATTCTTGCGGCTTTCCAACATGAGATTCCCTAGAAATTGTTTCATATATTTCAAGAGTATAAGAGGAATTCCCAGGTGACTATGTTAACTCCAACATGAGGTTTGAGGTCATTCTGAAAGAATTTACGTTTTGTACCGAACCCGATATCTTCCATAGCTGCAATGATATTTTTGGGGCCCTCTCTCCTTTTATTTCGAAAATTACACCACCATATTCCCTCCTAAATATATTAGTCCTGAGCATGAAACTAGAGAGGATGTTTGCTTGATATCTCAAAACTGCGGGGCATAGATCTGTGCAATTTGCTATAGATTTTTTAGGAATTGCTAAACTAGAAAATTGTATATATATGATGATGCCTGCCATAACCCTAAAAGCCTATGGTCCCCTTTGCATGTGCATGGAACAAGATGGATCGTCATATCATATATGTAGTTAAACTATGGAGCAGTAAAAAGGATGAGTGGTCGATTTCACTCACGAACCCCAATTCTCCAATTATCAGTGTTGTCCTGTAAGTGGTAAAACCATCAACGCTAGCACAATATTTTAGCAGAGGAACAGATTTAAAAAATAGTGGGCATGCAACTAAAGGGTGGTCCAGGTTTGTGAGTTTGACATGTTTCTGATATGTAATTTTTGTATATAATTTGATGTGTGACAAGAACTAAGACCAATGGAGGGCACATTGTTAAGCCTTAGTGGCTTATGTCTGTACTTTTATCCTTCGTGTCTTACTTGTTTCTTTTATATGTGAAATATAATTAACGCTTTTCAAAGAAAGCTAATAAAGGAAAAACTATTATCAGAGAGCGGTTGAACTACCCGAACTCCTTTTTACTTTCATGGTTATGCTTACCTCGCCAAGGTAATGACTTGTCCATTCATGGATGAATTATGATAATCGTTCCTTTTGTTTGCAAGTTCAACACGTAGACACCCACCAGAAATTTTGGACTGCCAATCATTGTATTAAGCGACCTTCAAAAGCTAGAGCCATGTGGACGGTTTACTTAGGGGTTGCAGCAAAATCTAGGCTATAATAATAATAATAATGATAATCTAAAGTAAATTCTGGGGAAATATTAATTGCATTAACCATAGTTAATTACTAGTTAGTGAAGCTACAGGTGATTGGTTAGCATAGAAAGCTGTTAAACATATTATAATTTAGTGTATCCTCTGTTAGAGGCATTAGTTACACATTATTAAAACAAAACTATAATTTAACAATACCTATATTACTATTTCTAATTTATATTCTTATGATTTGCCGTATTAAATTATTCAGCATATCAATCACTGGTGCCAAGTGAATTGTCCTAGTCGGTATTCATTTCGTATCATATATACTTCCAAATATACCACTTTTGTGGGGTGCCCATGTCAAGACAACATAATGTCCAGCCTCCACACAGAAAATGAGCTGCAAATATAAAGGTTGGATGAAAGAACGATTTGTTAACAGAGATTAAAAAAAATTCCATTTGATTTTGTCATCATTCTTGGTAACAACTACCCATAGTTTATGGCATGGCCTCACTTTCAATTTAAAATCTATATTAATTAAACACAATAGACAATTGCACTGCAGCCACGAAATTCGACATGAACTGGTAAAAAAAAAATACTAAACCGGCTATGGAGTTTGTCCCTTAGTAGCCCAATTTGGTAAAAATGCCGTTGGAATATTCCACAGTGAAAAGCAGTTATGACAATGAATGTTACATGTTTGTTGGCTGAGATTACTCCTTTCCGTTCAGAGCAGTGCTAAAGCCAATTAGGAGGGAATGCGCATCGTCAATGGACTACAAGATAGGCCCGGCCCGCAAATAACATGCCCAAAGCCCATATGACTATGTTTTTATTTGTTGAAAAAAAAAACGTTTTAATTTATAGCATATTCTCTTAAAAAAAAAAACAAATTATAGCATATTTGTTGACCAGAAGATATATTTGATTCAATTAAAAAGTAATTAGTTTATAAAAATTAAAAATAAGTAATTACCTTTTAAAATAATTTAAATTTAAAAGACTTTATTTTCACTCGTATTTCTAATTTCTTATGTCTATGTTATCTGTGATTAAAGATGACTGGAAGGATTTGAATGTTCTTTAATTTTAGCGTGACGACAACAGTTCAATCAAATTTTACTTAAATGAATTTATATTTTTTAACTTGAAGAGATGCTTACGTTGTTATAAGAGGTATGGTCAAAATGTGACATAAATCATGGTCCATATTGTATTATTGTTGTGCGTGTAGATTCTTTTAAGCAAATTTTATTAATTTTTTTTATTTTGTAGGATTTATTTGCTTAAGCGAATTTCAAATAAACAATCACGTTGACATTGATATGGGAGAAAATTCAAATTCAATCAAAGAACAAATTAATTTGTTGAAAATAAGAATTTACTATCAACGATTGTTCCTCCTTTTTTCTCTAATTTTATTTTAAGTATCGATATTTGGACCAATTGTGATCTCTAAATTAATAACTTTTTTTAAAATATGTTTTAAGATATATAATAAAAAATTAATCAATAAAATAATAATATTTTTATTAAATATTATAATATTTTATGTTATTAACATATTGAATTTTGTGATATTTTGTAATTTTTAATAACAAATTTTATATACAAAATTTTATTTATATTTTTGAGCACACGTTGCACATTTTAAAAAAAGATTTAATAATATTAAAAACTTTATCGAAAGAAAAATATCTTGATATAATGAATATTTTTTTTTCTTAATAAAAACTTTCTAAATACTTAACAACTAACAACATTCTTAAAAAATTATCCGATCACATATAAAGAGTGTATAAAAAGTGTTTGAAATAATATGGTTATAACTCTTTTTCTTTTCTAATTCTTTTGTTGATGTATTTGACAACTTCTTCAATCTCAACAGCCTCAATAACTCCTTTATTTGTTTCATTAGTCACCTTGCCATTTGTTAGTTCCAGTGAGATTATCTCAACTCTTTATTTTTACAGGTAGGAAAGAGATCAAAACCTCATCATTAACATATTCTGAGATCTGTATCTCTTCTCAGTTTATGTACATTAGACCCTTTATTTGTGGCTTATTATAGCTAATATTGCGTTTTATTTTCATTCTCTGACTCAGGTATTTGTGTTCCCCACTAAGGATATACTAGTATTCTCAATGCTCCTCTTCTGTGAGATAAGATGATGTCATTGCAAGTACCACTAACTTTTTTCTGTCTTACGTAAGGGAGTGTACCTGCAAAAGGCTGCGATGATAAAGTCAGGAGTCGGTTTCGATAATAAATGCTATTAAATATTTGAAAGTTAACCCTTTATTTGTACCTCTTACTTTCCTTTTATAGGCATAATGTGGGCTAATGGGCTTTCTGCGTCAACCCTGTATTTATCTTTCCAATCAAGTAAATGATTAAAGATTATTTACGCTAATCGATTCATTTATCCCCTAATTTATTCTTAATTTGTCTGGGGTGTGCTCGTCTTATTAGATCGAAGGGGTATTTGGATTCCTTCTTTTATCATTGAGACCAAGTGGTGGCTTATCCAGTACATTAGCCCCCCAAGCCCGAGGAGATATGACTCAAGGGCTTGTTAAGGCCTGCTGACCCCATTTGTAGGCATCACGATTCTCTCTATTTAAGTGACGAGGGTATAGTTTTACCGATAACGTATTCGATTTTAAAATATGTTGGTGTTCAGTTGAATAGGTAGTCGGGTCCCTTTTTTCCGGCGTTGGGACCGAGTATATGCTTGTCTTAATAAGCTGGTTCTTGAGGGTTTTCAGCAAATTAGGTTTCATCAAATTAGTATTTTCCTCGTGGTCCATGCCCTTGAAACGAAATGTTGGTCGCTCATATCCATTAATCTGAAAAAGATCTGACGGTTGGAAATGGGTGCAACTCTTTATCTGCCCGAAACCATATGTTCTATAAATATGTAGTGGTCCAAGTATCATATATGTTTTCTTGCTCTAAATTGAGGGGTATATTGTGCTTATTTTGTTAGAAGCTTTTCCTTTCTTCTTCTTGAGAATTTCTTGGAGGTATATTATGCTTTATTTTACCCTTACTTTCTTTTCTTATTCTTCTTATGACTGACTCCATCGAGTAGGAGGATTCGTTGTCGGATCTAGCAAGGTCGACTACTCCTCTTGAGGGTGGGGACCTTGGTGAGACTGAAAGGTTTGAAGTAGTTTCTTTGTGACTGAATGTTGTCGTAATTGAGCCGGATACAACCGCTAGGGAACTTGAAGATAATGCCAAACCGTCTTATGCTTGCCATGATGATTCTGAGTCAAATGAGTCGTTACCGAATGCTAGCCCCCAAGAGAAAGGCTTACGTTTCTGCCTTGTACAATACCTAAATATGAATGGGTAAATGGTGAAGTGGTCGTATACTTGTCACACTTTCAACAAAATAAACAATTCCAAACCTTTGTAGACCATTGCGATATATCACTATGAGAGGCTTCAGACTCTTATTCGATAACTATTAATGTTTGCCGAGAGGATGGCTCCAGTAATCCCGAACTGGTATTTTTAGGAGATGGTGTTGAGATGGTTGACACCTTCTTTGTATATGAATATATGTTTAGGGAACTAGGTGTAAGGCTTCCTTTTGACGATTTTCAGATGGGTGTGTTGAGGGTTTTAAATGTCACGCCGACACAACTTCATCCGAACGGGTTGGCAATGATGCAAGCGTTTAGGATTTTGTGTAAATTTCAATATATAGAATCTAGTGTAGGTTTATTTCTTCATTTTTTTTTCTGTACCCATCCTTCATATAAAGAGATATGGGTGTATTTAATAAGGCAAGCCAAATTGCCACTTTTAAAGCCTTATACCTCATCTTTCAAAGGTTTTAAAACCTGTTACTTTAAAGTAGTCGTGCATCCTATCGGTAGAAAATATTTTTTTGATAATGAAAATAATTCTCTTTTCCCTTTTCACTGGACCCGGGTCGTCAGTATAATGTATTTTTCGAGGAAATGTTATCGGTTGAAGAGTTGTCAGCTTTGAAATATTTGAAGTCTCTTCCTACAGAGCTTCCTATTCGAACCTTCATACTTTTGTTAAAGTCTCCCTAACCTCGCTTGGATATGGATGGTATGTCTCATACCTTTGGTGCGTAACTTGTACACCAATTTATATTGATTTGACTTCTTGTTTTTATTGTAGGTATAATGGCTCAAAGAGGACTTAGTGTGAACTATCGTCAAGGCTTAAGGCAACGAGCTCTTAGGAGAACCTTAGCGGAAGAACACTGAAACCCTTGTCTAGATCAAGTTCCGGACTTGGCTAAAGTTCGCCCTCCTCTCCACGATTTGGCCCTTGCTGAAAGTCATCAAAGAAAACGAAAGGATAAAGGCAAGGAAAAAGAATTCGAAAGAGAGAAGAAGCGGAAACATTCCTAAACTGTGGGACCGGATGGTTCGAGCAACTCGTCTATTCACACAATCATCCCCTGTCGTCTTTTCTAAGTCCTTTTTTGCTGAAGGAGTATTTGAATTCCTTCTTCTATCATTGAAATCGAGTAGTGACTTATCCGGTACAATTTGAATCCATGACAATGAAAAATCCTTTTCTTTTGAGTTTTCTTTGGTGTGATTTACACTCTAGAGGTGATTCTGATTGGTTTGCATATTAATGGATTTGGTTGCCAACTTTTGCACTACCTTTCCTCTTCGGCTATGTCTTCAATTTGCTGTATCTATGCACTCTATCCGTTGTCTCTATTATTGGTGTTATGCTTAATCTACGTTTTAAGAATGGCTTACCCTATTTACTCCCAACAAATAAAATGAGCGCTTCAATTGCTTTCTCCATTTGGTATTCTCATTGATACCCTATCTTGGCCTAAATAACTTGATTCAAAAAAGCACAATTGCTTTTTCATGTCCCGAATTCCACCATTATGAAGAACGGTGGTTCCCAGCCAGATCCCATGTGTCTTTCACTGTAGTAAGAAAGTGACAAGAGATAATAAATTCTACAAAATGCTTAAAATAGATGATGAAAAATAGCATTAGGATTCTCTTCAGTTCTAAAAAGAATTGCTTCAATTTTAGACCTTTATTTTATTTCAATAAATGACAACTTTATCTTTTAAAATTAAGTTTAAATGGTGAAATTTACAATTTTAAATAAATTGCAGAGGATCCCATTCCTGAAAAATCAGATGCAGCATTACCTTCTTCTTCTGTAGCTGGCATGTCTATGCCTGTTCATAGACCAATATCATCTCTTATTGCGCATGTGCCCTAGCACCATGATCTACAGAAAAAGATGAACAAAACATGTTAATTTAATTAACATCCCACAACCATCTAAATATTTAGGCCCGACAGTTTAATAACTATATGAATGAACAGAGAAACAGTACAAAAGTACCCTCTACATTAAAAAATAATTATGATGACACAAAATTTTGATAGATTTAATTCTCTAAAATGAAAAAGAAAAGAGAATATTTGAATTCAAGTATTTTATAAATATTATTAATTTTAATTTAATGGTAAATAAATTTTTACTTTTTTTAATTTATATTTTGAGCTAAATCCTGTAAATGCATTGTTTATTAATAAATTGGATTATTAACTTTTTAAATCAAATTAAAAGAATGAAGTTATTTTTAAAATTATAATTATCATTTATTTTACTAAAAAAGCGAGAAAAATATAAAATAAGAATAAATAAAACATTTAGAAAAAAGTAAGAAGCAAAAAGACATACCCGACACTTTTACAGTGTTTGACGTTAAATCAAATAGAGAACAACGTGTCACTCGCCGACTCACTGATTCGGACGTTAAAATGCTCAAAACCGAAAGCATTACTCTCTGGATCTACTTTCCTCTTCTACTTTGGGCTTTCCCGGCGTCTGGTGGCGGTTCAGACGGCGGAGCTCCGTCGCGGGAGGTGTGGTGCGTGGCGAAGAACAACGCGGAGGACGCGGCTCTACAGTCGGCGGTGGAGTGGGCCTGCAGTGTGGGCGGAGCCGATTGCGGAGCGATCCAAGGAGGAGGAGCGTGCTTCGACCCTTCCAGTGTACAGAATACGGCGTCGTACGCTTTCAACGACTATTTCAGAAAGCACGATATCTCTGATGAGAATTGCAACTTCGGCAACAACGCCGCCATCACCTCATTGAACCCCAGTCAGCAAATTTAAACTATTATTGTTTAAATCACTTTAATCATTATAATTTAGTTCTAATTTTTTAACTGTTTAAATTTTCAGGTTACGGTAATTGCAAGTTTCCTTCTAGGTAATTCAATTGTTTATTCAATTTAATTTTATTTATGGGTTGTGAAAGTGCTTAGCGATGTTTTGTGATGCAGTTTGTTTGGGAGTTTGGGGGGTTCAACAACGTCCATGGGAATAAGACCCAGTGAAGATACTAGTGGTGCCTGCACTCATGTTACTTGGAGTCGAAGGTGGTGGTTTTCGCCCTTTTTTTTTTTTTCATTTATTTTCTGTTTCTAGTTTCAGTTTCTCGGAATTAAATTCCCTCACTGGTTTCTTTGTCCATCGTCAATGAAACTAGAATTTCGAGTTTATATTATGATCCTATGCTCTGCATACACTGTAATGTCAAGAAGCTAAATTAATTTGGTAATTAGAGACCAAGTCAATGGTAGAAATTATTTTAAATTTATTATTTTTTATAATATTAAGATTAAATTAACTAATAATATCAATTTCAGAACTATACTAGTGTTTTACATTGTGAGTTTGCCCCCTGGCTGATCACCTCTCTCGTCTTCTCAACCTCACTTGTAGCTCTGTTCTTAACTTAGTCAAAATCCTGGGGGCTGTTTTGAAGGATTTTTCATCATGTAGGTCACATAGGATCAGTATTCTTAATATTACACTTTTAGACAAACTCGATACATACGAGGCACATGTAATGTTCACAGTTTTTATAAATCTGACATCCAAAATTTTGCAAAATATGACAGCGGCAAATCCATATATGTCAAGAAATTATTTTAAACTTTGAAATGTCACAAAACTCGTTAATCATGAGTGTAATTTATTCGAAAATTATATACATTTAAAGAAATATATACTTTAGTACAATCTATTTAATTTGTGCCTGCATGAGTGAGCAATTCACACCTACTCAAAGGATCACATGGATTACATCACCATGTATACTTGACAACAAAAATTTCTTTACAAAATCTAATTGGAATCGAAGAACTTTCAATTTTCAAAGACAAAACTTCCCAATAGCTGTCAGGTGAGAGAATACTTTTGACAATGCATTATGGGGTGGGTCCCTAGCAAGTCTTCAAACAAATATTAGGATATATGAGGGATGAATGTATTTAATAATTATGCATGCTTTGTGAACCGAGATCTTCAACCTTGATACAAAAAGGATCTTTTACTTTTAAAAGATTTATTTAACCAAAATAGTCTATGAAGAGTTGTTGGGTTTAGAAGTCAGAGCTTAACGTCAAGCATGAAATTAATCTGAAGATAATATATAGCCTATATCGTATTAAGTTATTAACAATGGGGCAACAATTTCTCCATTACTTTGTCAAAGTGTTACGTCCAAAATATAATGCGTTTCTCATTTTAGGTATGGGCGTTGAGTATTTCCTCATTATTCTTATAAATTACTTATTAATGTTTATTTTTAATTAATCTTTATAAACTAAAAGTTTAAGGCCAGTTCGTTTTATCGTTGTCAATTTTAAATTTTAAAATATTTTTAAATTAAAATTATTTTTATACTTTATATTTTATATTTTTTAAAATTTTAATAACATAAATCACTTGTTATATCAATTTAAATTTATTTAGTACCGCGACAAGGATCGAAGGTAATGAATGAGCGAAAGGGAAGCAAGAGTAATGTTGATAGACTCATGGTGATGCAAATTATGGTGTTAGTGACAACAGTGACGGTAGTAACACTTATTTAGTTAACATACTATTCAAATATAATACTTTATATGAAATGATATTTAGTTAGAGAAAAAGAGGTTAATAAATTTTTACAATTTTACATTATTTGATTTAAAAGTTTAAAAGAAAATAAAGAAGAAATAAGGAGGAAAAACCCTCATTCTTTTATTTTTATCTTCCCCCAAAATTGAGAAGACATGAAGAGAAAAAATTAAAATTTTTGAACTATAACCCATACCAGACTTCGCTGGCCTCTTTATTCTCAGTCTTTTTTCAATAACAATCACTTCGTTAATTCGCTTCCTCCCCTAGTTTTTATCTTTCACTGCCTTCGAACCTTGAATTTCTCTCACAACAATCTCACTGGATCAATTTTCACAGCTTTCACCAACCTTGACCCCCCTCCACTGCCTCTGTCTTAGTTGAAACCACTTTAACGGTTTCATCGTTTCGTTTAACTAGCCTTCTCTCTGAATCTTTGACGTTTCCGGCAACAAGCTCTCCAGCGTTATCTTAGTCACTCCCGCACTGTTCTGTTTTTAGGCGCCTTTCTTTGCTTTCAACCTTAGTCTCTGCAGTGAAATCATCTACAAAGAATGACATCTAGCGAAGCCTTTCTTCAGACTTTCGTGGTTGCCAGTGGAAGAGAAGTAAAGAGGACCTCATTTAGTTTAAATGCAAAAGTAGGGACTAAATTAAAAATAAATCATAAATGTATATATAAAAATTAATTTATAAATTTTGTGTATATTGAAACTAACTTATAATTGTGAGTCAAATATAAAGATAAAAATATTATTTAAATTTAAAAAAATTTAAATAAAAAAATTATTATAAATAAAGAGTTTGATTTTGTGTCACCGCAATTAGCTCTTTAAATGTATTAGGTATTTAAGTAATTGTTAAACAAAAATTTGTTAACCTAATATAGATTAGAGGCTTTAAACAAAAAATAATTTATCTGTTAAAATATATAGAATTCATAGACGTGTACATCTCATCATTAAAATTATGTGTGTTCTTTTCTTCTTTATTTCTCATTTTTGGACTTATAATTAATACAGCAATGTATTAATCCGAACTCTTCACTGCAGAGACTGACATAAAAAATCAGTACGTTTTACATTAAACTAGGTATTGGGGACGGATCGACCTTAACAAAAAAATCAAGTATTACAGAGGGAACCATCCTTCTAACAATCCCAATTATACGCAAACGATGCATATGTTTGTATCCGAATTCAGCTAAACAGGAACAAGTTACGTGAGCCCTCTTAAACAAAAATTTATGCAATTTATGCAATTGAACTCAATTATTGTTTGCTATATTAGTACGTAGGTAGTACTTTTAAATTGCCTAACTAGTTGTAGCTTTAAGTGGTTAGAATAGAAGATACACGTTTTTGCAGAGTCGGTAATTATATTTTATAATATATATAATGCAGTTGAAGACAGAAAGAAATTCAAATCCATCTTTCGCTCGATGCTTGAATTGAAAATTTCATTCAATACAATACTGATGTTCTCTCTCTCTCTAGCTGATGACTAAATGCTAAAATGTTGAAAATTTGAGCATGTAGTATTCTAATTGCGCGTGACAACAATTAGTGAAACTAATCATCAATAGGAGATTCGGCTTCTTGTAGGTAATACATTGTATTTATAGGAGCAAGCAACATGAATCCCAAATATCAGGGTCTTGATTTTGACTTCTCCCTAAGCTCCCTCATAGTCATAGTAAGGCCCCAATAAAAACAAAAAACCATAAATTTTTAAAAATGAAAAATAATGTTAATTTTTACTAGGCCCACATGGAGCTCTCACCTAATCTTCCGATATTATATCATCATTGCGATCATTATTATGTTAATTCAGGTGACCAAACACGAAATCCATTTTGGAAAGTATAATAATATAATAATACAAGCAATCAAATTCAATACAAAAATACTTATATTTGACTAACATGTACAAACATTTTCAAATTCTTTTCAATTCATTTGTGCAAGCTCTTTCTGTGTGTATCAATCTGTATAATGAGAAAATCAACAATAATAAAACCAGAATTTAATACCTCATAATTTTCTCACTGCCTCTCTAAATCTTGATCAATATCATCATCATGGGTGGAAGGTTGGATTCTCCTCGACGATCTCTCTCTACTAAGAATCCTTCTGAACGAGCTCAACCGCGAATTAGAAGCATTGATTTTAGGCGACCCATTAAGAGTACCATCGGAAGTGCCTTCGATGGGTTCAAACAAGAGTGGAGCCGAGGGTGGTACACCATGAGCCGGACCCTCACGTGGCTGCGGCTCAAGTCGGAGGGGTTCGGCTTTGGTTCGACAAATGGGACACGTAGAGTGCGAAGCGAGCCACGTGTCGATGCAAGCCACATGGAAACTATGTTTACAATTGGGAAGCAACCTTAGCATTTCTCCATCTTCTAGAACACTCAAACACACGGCACACTCCAAAACATGTTGTTGTTGTTGTTTGAAGGGGGAAACAGGAAGAGCGTTGATGAGGGTAGGGTCGAGTCCTGTGTTGGGTGGTTCGGGAGATTGAGCTTGAGCCACAGTGAGGCTTAGTTGGTAAATGGCGGCTCGGCGCCGAGCTTGACGTTTGAGAACCAACCTTGCATAGAGGTGAAGTGCGAACACCAAAACTAAAACCACTGTTAAGGAAACTATAGCCACTAGTAATATCCTCTTGTTGAACTCGCTGTGGTCATGGAAATTGCCTAATGGGCCATGCTCATGATCATCATCGAAGTAACTCATAGCTAGCTTCGTGTGTGTGTGTGTGAGAGAGAGAGAGAGAGGGTTGAAGTATTGAAGAAGACGATGTGTTTTGGTTTAATTTTTGCTTGGATATTGGGTTTATGATGACTTGGTGTTGTTAGTGTGTGTGGTGTGTTGGGTACTATAACGCGTGTGGAAGTGAAAAAATGTGCAAAGTCTACGGTCGTTTTCTAAATGTATATATTGTTCTCCTATTGTGGCTATAAAAGTCTGTGGTCTTAACTAACAAGAAACTCCAAAATTTTCAAGACCGTTGACTGTTGAATATGGACAGTACTGATCCATATCTGGTATGAGTAAAATGGGAATGAGATCAGTGAGAGACTAGAGAGGTGTACAAAACTATTATTTGTTCTAAAGCAAGAACTGTTGCGTAGAATAATAAATACTATAAGAAGAGTAAAGTAATTGCCATGATTATCTCTATTTATACATAGGGATGCTCCATTATCATTTTTTGTATACAGACTGTACTAATTTTCAAACATCGTGTTGATTACGAAATTAATTAATAAATAATTATTTAAATTTATGCTGTTCATAATATATTAAAGATTTTTAAAAAATATTATCACATTTATGATAAAAGTTTGCTTTTATCTCTTTTAGTAACGTTTTAATCTATCATTTTTTCAAAGAAAGAACAGAGTTGTTGTTAAATACATTGGTCGACTATCTTTTCCCATTGCTTTCAATCTCCAATAAGTATTTACGATATCTGTATCATCTAAGATGAAAAAATTATAACAAACTAAAAAAATATAAATAAACTTAAACCTTAGAAAAAAAATAGACCAGGTGAATTATATTTTATATTTTTTATGAAAACTTTAAAGTAATTAATCATTTGAAAATGTTTAATATATATATATAACAAGTGTCAATTAATGATGAAGTTCTATGTCACAAAGAATACAATGAGTCGATTGGATAAGACAACTGGAAAAATATTTTGAAAAAATAGCAATAATATGTTATTAATAAAGACAGAGTACATTTATTTGGATCTCAATTTAGCCTATAAAGAACTTGTCCGTAAAATAAATGGAAAATTGAGATTTACACAACATCCAGTTCAGCCATGACATTAGTTGTTGACTTCTGATCAATGTGAAACTGACTGAGGTAGCTAGTTGCGTCTTCTCATTATTTACGTCACACATTATTTTAGCGTATTTATATATTAATCTTTTACAACATTTCAAAATAAAAGAAAAAAACCAGTTTATTTATACTTTTATTCCATCATATTTTATATATATTTAATATGGAAACACTGAGAAGACATTCATATTTAGAAAAAAAATTAAACATGCAAAATAAATTATATATATAAAAAGAATCTTCTTACACAAGTTTAAAAAATTTTATATTTAATTTAAATTTTTTATTTAATTTAAATTTAAAAAATTATAATTTATTATTTTATTAACCGTTAGATTTAAATTAAATAAAAAACTCAGATTAAATATAAAAAAATTAAAATTTATACTAATATAAAAACATTCTATTCTTATAAAAAAGATATTCATTATATATGACATGCAAAAAGAAGCCGAGACAAATAAACTATCCTGTTTGGGAGATTTACTTTTGCTTTCCACTTTCCAAAGTTTCCTCCTCAATATTTCTTCTTTTAACAACTAATATAAATTTACTATTTTTTTTAATCTTATTTCTCTCTTTTAAATATTTTGTTGTCCTGTGTTTCCACCAATCCAAACTAATTAAGGGTAAAAGTCTTACAATTTTTATGAAGCTTTTCTTAATGGAAATATAGCTCACATACATTTTGTCTTTGCCAGCCGCCCTAAACAACTATTCTGAGTTGGAATATTTGTGATAAACTATTTAAATTTCTTACAATTTAACTATATTCAACTAAATATTATTGTTATGAAGTCAAATAGAGGGCACATCACCTTTGTGCTAAGTCTTCTTGGTTTTCCATATGTACGGCAAAAGAAATTGAGGACACCATGAATAGCATCATAGCCACTTGAAGAAAAAGTCTATGAAAATGATGGAATTAGGAAATCAAGGAAGCATTACTCCGTTTTTCATTGCAAGTTAATGCAATTTATTGAGCCATTGATTTTTAGGCTACAGGTTGCAGGTTGCTCCAAACAATTTCTTTCGTTAATAAGATCATTTAAACAGATTAAAGCACTCTTAAACGCAGATTGCAATTGATGCATGGCATTGGCAAGAAAGCGGGAACTCATTATTCATTGACTTGCACGCTTTACGTTGATAAACAAAGGACGGAATTCCACGTAATTACGTGGTGACAAATTCATGTCACTTCTGTGTGATTAGAATAAGGATTCAACATACTCTACCCAAGTGCGTTTTACACCAAAATAAATATAAATAAATAAAGAGTTTTGTGAGTTTTGTTAATTTCAGCTCTTAAGATTGAATTTAAATATTTATAAATAAAAAAAATTTATAAAAAAAATACACAGTTATTATCTTAAAGTTATAAAAAAATTATAAAAATATAATAAATATTTTTTAATAAAATTTTATTATTATTAATTATTTATACTCAGCCCTTAAAACTTACATTAATAAAACTATAAATAAAAGATAAAATAAATGTCTTTACAGTCCAAGCAGTAAATTATTCTCTTGCTTGTTAATCTTTTGCAATTCCAAGAAATGACACGTCTATGGTTTAGTCCAATGGAATACCCCTGAATTTTATTTTTGTTAAAGTTAGGAATTTAATTTAATTTTTAAGAGAAAAAATTTATCCATAAATATTGAGAAATCCTTTCAACTTTTAACCTTTACACATTTTTTATATTCATTATATGCCTATTCTCTTTTAATTTGTTTAATTTTTTTTCATCTATTCTTATCATAGGATGTGATGAGACTGTTAATCTATTATTATTGGAAGAATAATGAACCTTCTTTTGCAGAGACGCGAACAATGATGAACCATACATATTTAACCAACGAGGTTAAAATTGTTGATGCCCCAAAACAAGGATACCTATGCCGATGTTTGTTAAACAATAATAAAAACATAATATTATTATTTTTTGTCATATATGTTGTAACTCTGTTGTTAGGTGAGTTGAATGAGTTTTTCTTTTGGCTTACAATTATTTATATTTCTTCTCCAAAACATAATTGATAATATTTGGCCATTATATCATTATTCAGGCCGAAAAAAAAATCACAGTCCCTCATAATTTCATCTGTAGAACAACTCTACTTATTTTAATAGTGGGAAAAGGAATTTAGAACAATGAACTTATTCCATGAAGCATCTCTTCTTATACAAAAAAAAGTGCAGAAAAATAAACATATTAAAAAACTAAATTTATACTAAAATACATAAACATGTAAATTATTAAAATATTAATTTCTTTTAATTAATAACTATGACCACTCCATTATTTATCTTCTAAAATATACTTCTCATGACACGAAGTTAAGAATGTTACTAATGTCTAGAACAACTTTGACAGTTGTTCAAATGAAAAAATAATAATAAAAAAATTTACTTTTTAGATGTACTTTTAATAATAATGAATAAAAAAAGGCTCTTTGAGAAACAACTTGGTGTATTACCATTTGAAAAAATAAAGATAAGAAATTAGTGTGAAACAACGATAAAAATTGACCTTAGTGATGTAATTTTTCAACTTTCTTTTTCTTATACACGTCCGCGTACACACTTGAATAATAATAGTTGATTCAGACTTTTTTTTTCTCGCATTTTAACGATTATTTTGTTTAAATTTTTTGAAATAATTTTATTTTATTTTATTTTTATGAATTTTTATCACAGATTCATACGATTTTTGAAAAATAAGAAAAGAATTGAAATAATGGAGCACTATATACTTTAGTTAGATTTGTTGAAAATTTGCCAGTGAGATTAATCCTTGCTTAATGAAAAGGGGTGATGAACTTGATTTAGAAAAAATCTTTAAAATTCTTTGGATTTTGGACCAATGAGAATGTCAGAGGTTGAACCCAGTGGTCCAACTTGCAAAGTTGATTCAGTTAATTGTTGAAATTGTTTTTCAAGGTTCATTGTTAATATTATTGTTTCACCAATACACAAGTCCATCACAATAACAGGGCTATGGGTAAAAGTTCTAAGGTTTTAAAAATATTTTTAACGTAGTTGTTTTCTCCTAATCCTTTTTATAAAAATCATCATTACCTTTAATTATTATATAATAAAAATTAAATACAAAAATTGTATATAAAGAGATGAAATTACATAAAAATTATAATTTTTTTTACAGTTAATATCTTTATCGATATATCATATTATTTATTTATAGAATTTTTTATCAACATTAAATAATTACAAAAATATAATAAAAATTTCTTATATTCATATATTTTAAAAGTATTTATTATATTAACTTTAATTTACGTAAATGCAGTATAAAAATTTAAATCAATCTACAGTATGAGATATATTACTTGATTATTTATTTTAATGAATTTTATAAATTAAAATTTATTTTTATACTATTATTATTATTAAATAATTTTATATTCAATAATAATAAAATAAGTTTTTGTTTTTCGGGTCTACATTCCAAAACCAAATTCATGGATCATATAGTACAAACATCGAAACACTGATATAGCGGGCCTCCAGCCCAAACAGTGCAAAATAAAAAGAAGAAAACGCAAAATTTTTACGACCAATTATTTTGAAAAACCACTTTTTGCTACTTTCAAACGGATTAATTATAATCGATTTGGTCATTGCGTTTATCTTTTTTAATTTAACAAAATTAACCATTCAATTATTTTTTATTTTAAGTATTTTTATTTTTTATTTTAGTATTTAAAAGGTTCTCTATTTTTATTCATATAATTTTTTTAAATTTTCTTATTTACCGTTATTAAGTATTTTGTTATAATTATTATTTAATTTTTAATCATATTTTAAGTCAAAACATTTACCTGAAATTGAATGTGTAAAAATATTATATCAGGAGGAAAAATATCTAAAAATGTATTAAATTTAAATCATAGAAGTAAATATTTAAACTACCAAAGACTACAAAATTCAAATAAAAATGTATAAGTAATAAGAAGATAAAAACTTTACTACTTATAATATGTAGATAAATAAATATTATTTTGAAATTATTTTTAAATATAAACAATGGATGAAGTTCAATATTGCATCATATGATATTTCATGATTTTTTATTTTATATATATTTAAAAAATTATAAATTTCTCATTCAAAGTATTTTGCATTTTTTTTTTATATATCTTACGCGTTCTATGATCATTACTTTATATAGAACATAAATTTAAAGGTTTCAAAAAATAATTAAGATTATATATAACATTTCAATTTCTATATGAATATTTATTTTTATAGTTATATATATTTTTAGATTATAAGTATCTTTCACTAAATTATAAGTTAACTTAAAATAACTTCTGTAAGTTCATGTATTCATTAATTTTAAAAATTACATTTTAACTTCAATAATATTAACACAAAATCTTTTACTTATAAATTAAATTGTAAAAGATTATAGACAATATGTGCATAGAAGATATCCCCATGCCAGTTAAACATAACTAAATATTGATTGGCAAGGTCGCCAATAACCATGAACGATGAGCCCTTTCAGCATTATGGATAAACTGCAAAGAGTTGACATTAAGTTGGAGTTGAGAAATTTTAAGGCTTTGATTGGGAGATTGATAGGAAAGTGAGGGGAATGACATTAATTTTTATTTTTTTTATTTGGATATTTAATATTAAGAGGAGAGGGTGAAAAAGGATTTAACTATATAAATGATATTATATTTTATATCTTGTATTTGTATTTTTTATTTTTATAAAAATAAAAAATAAATATTTTTTTTTCTAAAATTAATAATTTTAAAATTAAATTATTATTTTTTATAATATTTTAAAAAAAATCATCACTTGAAAAATTAGTATTTTTTTAAAAAAAAGTTAGAATATTAATTATGAAAGAATACTAGAGAGTGGAAGAGAGAAAACCTTTCAAAATAGAGGAACTCAAAAAATAAGAGTTAAAAGAATTTAGAAAGATTTAGAAAAACTTCCTAAATAATGATTAATCTTTCATAACTTTTCTTTTCTCCTCCCTTCCTAAATACAACTCTTAAACATAATCTTAAGAAAAAGAGAATATTTGTGAATTATCTGATATTATGAGAAGGTAGAGGGTTAATTTATTTATTTTATAGTTGAGAATTAATTTTTATACTTTTAATGTAAAATACATATTTTAATACAAATTAAAAAGGCACGTAATATAATGACAAAGTCATATTTGAATAGAATAGCACGTAGATTAACTTTCATAATCATCTAGATTAATAAGTGGTCTCAATTTTGAGTCTTAGTATAGATTTAAGAAAATCACATTTTTGACATGAGTGCAAAATTTAGAGAAATGAGGCAGCAAGTTAATAGTCCTCTGCCGTCCTATACTCTCCTATGGTACAAATTCACGCCCCTATTGTTGAAGTCAGCATAATGATGACTCTAGCAAGGTAGGATCAGCACTTAAATCATAAGGCTCTGAGTCAAGCCCTCACTTTTTTGTGTGTGCATGGCCTATGATAGGGGCAACATTACCACACCAGAAGCAATGCATAGCTATTTAAAGTCTGAAATACCTACTCTTTAATTTATTTCACTTTTCTACTGTTTTAACATCTCTTCAAATTAAATTTTGCATTGTTTGATTACCAAACTCCTCAAATTTGTATTTGTCGTTTGATCTGTCAGTAGTTCATGTTTATCATCGGTAAAGTTATAATTTTTATATTAACATGATTTTCAAACATGTTGAAATATGGTAATTGTTTGCTACATTTTATGGAGTTCAACAATTCTGCGGTATGAATCGTACAAAATTTAGCATAATAAAAATATTTATTGATACAATGATGATGTCAAAATATTTGAATAATTTAGTAACATAAGTGTTTTGTTTCGTATTAGAATGTATATGAATCCATGATTATTTTAATGCTATATTAAATCTATACCTACAGAATTTTTTGCATGTCATGATTAAATTTGTGTTTAAATGCTTATAAATGTATGTTTAATTCAAAGTTACTTACTGTAACTTTTGCGTTGATTCTGCATTTATAAATCTTTCAACATGAATCAAAAACGTTCTAAAGAGATAACATGAGTTTGAAGAGATGAAACATGAGCTTTTTAAGGGACAGAATGGTGTTAATTCTTCTTATTTGTAACACCAATAAACGGTGTCGGTTGTGGCTCTATTTGTGGTTTTTAAGTGCTGATGTAAGTGTTTCGTAGGTTGTGTTTATGGAGATTAATGGGTCCTTGTTGTCATAGGGATGTTTGGGTTTGGGTAGTTTCCTGGCTTGATTGTTTTATGGACAAGTGTGATTCATTGTGGTACAAGGTGGTTTTGTGACTTGGAGATGTTAGGTTTGGGTTCTTTGCTTATTGGTTCCACTACTTTGGGGGCAAAAACTTTGTTTAGTGATTGCTTGGGTTATATGTTTTAAGGTGGGTGGTATTGGTTTCTCGGTTTTGTGTGATACGCATAAGGTGTGAGTTTTGTAGTTGTTTTAGCATTTCTTTGTTGGTGTTTAAATTTGTAGAAGACGTTGTGTTTGCGTTTGCTGGAAAGAGGTAGGGTCTTAATTGCTTTTGGGATTAAAAGGGCTTGTTGTTTTGGTCATACATCAGGTCTTTGTAGCATGATTTGGATTGGAGTCTTGTTTATTTTGTTATGGTTGGAATCTCGGTTATTGAACTTTTGTTTGGGCATATTTATTTGTTGTATTTGTAATAAACACAAACCAATGACCGTCTAAGAAAATCAAGCAAGCAGACAATTTATGACAGTACAATACTATTACCTCATTGTAATTCAATTAAAGTCATGGATTCCCTCAAATTTTCCTATGTCATCGTTTTAATCTGTGTCAGTTTTAGTTAGTATTTCTTATATGATGTTTGTTACGTTTTCCAGGACTTAAACATTCATTTCTTTGAAAATCACAAAAATTTGTTTTTACGTTCTGTTACTATGAAATTTGTGCGGAGGTAAAACCCACCATACACTTATAGAAACTCTAACATCGTAACTTTTTTCTAATGAAAAAGAGACAAATGTTTCAAATCTTCTATAAAATGTAACTTACATATTACTTGAAATTGAAGCAGGCGCAGAAATACATTGCCGAATGGTTCGAGAAAGTGTTTGACTTCCAAAGTGCTCCATTAAATGTACTTGGGGCAAAAAGGAAACCACATCTCTTTCTACTACAGGGGGAACAATTGAATCAATCAAAACCATACTAGATTAAGTTTTTCTTGAAGTGGGGTACACCAAGAATCAACTTGAAACCTTGGGTGTTCACTTGATATCGGATAAACTATGCTATTCTCGACATTAATGAAACATGATCGAGGATCATAACCACTGAATCCAGCTTAATGTCATATATAAATTGAGCAAAGTATCATATAGATATAAATCATGATACATTAATATATCAAGCAGCGTTGATTAGAGGGAACTAGTCAACCCACTTGTAATTTTTATCTTAAAAAATATATAAAGCACCAATGTAATTTGGCTGCAATAAGGAGGGAAAAGAAAGGCACAAAAAAGTTGAATCCAACCAGACATATTTTGTAGATCATCAAGATATCTCCATCTCAATCTTCCCACGTTTTCAAGTCCGATAGACAATGCTCCTGCATAGCAAGATTCATGAGATAAAATTAAAAGGAAAAAGTCAGTGAGGGGCATTAACTTAGTTACTTCATTTGCAGCTTTGCATGGGAAATGTCTTTCATCAGTTTTCATTCTCTCTTCCATTAAAAACAAAAGATGACATGTTAGCACAAATCTCATCAAGTGGTCCCTTTTCCATTTCCTTTTCCCATAACATTGTTTACCATTACTCCCCAAGAAAAGAAAAAAAGAATGGGTAAACAATGAAGTACCTGATAGATAAGGAACATTGCAGTTCATGTTTGTGGTCAGTGATGAGAATTAGGAGAAGAAGATGATGGCTTATCTGAAGCAACTCCATGGCTCTCATCCTCCCCTTGAATTCTTGCAGGAATGCAGAACCCTGGCAAGGCATCAGACAGAAACCTGCTGCCAAAGATGGAAGCTTGTTGAATTGGTTGAGACTTGTGATGCTCAGAGGAAGCCATGGGAATGTCACTCCAAGGACGAAGTGATGGTGAGAAACTGGACTGAAGGGTCCCCCTTTGGGAATATGCAGCAGAACCACCTTGGCCTAGAAGAGCAGGTGGATTGACCATGAACCCGGTTCTGTTCATATCAGTGGTAGCATCATTGTTCCAATTCACAATCCTGTGGTAATTGGCCTCAAACCCAACTTGAGTTGAGCCAGAAAAGAGGGTTTGGTCATTGGAAGGTGTTTGATTTGCACCTGCTTGGGACTGCCCATGATGGATCAGACCAGAATCTTGGAAGGAATGAAGAGACAGGCCAAGATCCTCAGTGGAGTTGTTGGTTCTGGAGATTATGTCAGGTGGGTAGCTTTGAAAATTAATGGAGGAAGTAGCAGTGGTGGTGGGAAAAAAGGCTATGGCATCAGTGTCAATAGGTGAAGGAATGAAAGCTGAATGGTGGTTATCAGGGTCCTCACCTAATTGCCTTTGAAGCTGAAAATTGTAACCAGAAGACTCTGATTGTTCTGCAATTGCCATGTCATTAGAACCTGCATTGTTATTGTTGTGTTCAGCATCTGTGGTGTTAGGAGGAGGGTGCCATGGAGGAAGCTCAGCAAGCTTGTCAATGGCAGCCTTGGCCTTCTTGATGAGCCAGTCCACAGCCTTGCTGGGTCTGTCATAGCCTAAACGATCTTGAACATCATAGAATTGAATGGCTGTGTGTGCTGATAGCCTAACCCTGCGATCACGAGGACCCTTTGCAGTGTACACCTTGCTATGCCTATCTTTTCTACCTGTGGATCGAACAATGTGGCCTCCTTGGACTTGAACAATCTCTCCCCCAGTGCTCTTCATGCCCATTCCTCTATTGTGCCTTCTGCATAGTTGATGCTGATGGTTAATTTATAATATATGCCCAAAATTTGTTCTCCTGTTTTGATTCTTGTGCTACTAGCTCTTGCTTGTGAAGGGTCTGTGTAGTGGCTGAGATTCAGATTCCTTTGTTTTTGTTGCCTTCTTTTGTCTTTGGTTTTCCTTCTAATGATTTTGGATTTCTTGAGGTTGATAGTACTCTTTGGTTTTGCTTCCTGTGACTTCTAACTCTGGTTGCTTGTTGAGCTTCATCTGCAGCTACTGAGGGCCCTTAATTTTGTGCTGATCCCAAAAAACAAAACCTGAAATTGCAAGTTCTTAAGATTCGCTATCCAATAACACTAGCACTGCAACAAGAACATATGACTGAATATATACAAACAAAAGGTAATTAACTACTCAATGCTTTGTTTGTGGAGGGATTCATGACTAACTCATGTCTGGCTTTAATCCACTAGGAAGTAAATTAGTAGATTGTTGGTGGTGTTTCTTTACGAGGGCATCCCAAAAATTTGTGAAGAATATGCAAGATTTCAACTTTCAATGACTTGAACTGATTGTACTAGGAGAAGGTAAAAAACACAAGCTACTATAGGACATTGAACTCTGTGATGATTGATCTAGCTTTTGATTTAGTTGAGGAGGTGTCACATGGGGTTGCAAGAAAGAATCGGTGGATGCAAAGTGAGGGGAAAAAAATGGTACCTTTGGCCTATGAGAGCTTGTTGATGCTTCTGCAAAGCGTGGCAGAGTGTGCTCAGAGTAGAGATTAAAGATCTTTTGGTCGTTTTTTAGCCCCACAAACGCAAGTGTAAGACCTTGTCACAAACCCCAACTCTTTTGTGTCATCTCTTTGGAGTTTAACCAACCCCTTAACTTTCTACTCTCTAATATATACTCTTCAACTTGTTTAATAACTCTAGATGCTAGTGATGAGCTATGATTAAGGTCATGGATGATAGAGAGGTAACTCTCAATGGCCATCTCTTCTACCCACACCTTTTTAAGCCTTTGATAATGACATCTAACAGCTTTTTTGGTTTCTTTCCTATCTGTACTCTGCTGTTTCACTATTAACAAATGTGTGATTTCGCTAAAAGGAACAACATCCACCCAATCCTCTACTGTGCATTCTCATTACCCTCCTACACTTTTCTACCAACTATTAATACATCCTCTTCCTGAAACATAAAATGAGAAGGGGGTGTACAGCATGCATTAACGAGCTTGTTGCTTATCAAGTAGTGGCAAAATATGGAAACTTGGTCTATGAATTAATTAAGAAGGAATTTTAATGCAAAAGCAAAACTTTTTTTCTTTTTGTGTAGATTTTAATGCAAAAGTTTGGCATGGTGATGCGGGCTATTTGCATATCGGCTTCAATAAATTATGAGACTTTTTTTTCCTTGTACTGTATTTGTGGTATACGAGAACTTTTAGCATAAATTAAATTATCTTGAAAGTGCTTACATTATAATAGCATTTGATAACTTTTTATAGGCTAAAGAAGACATGTGATTTTCTTAAAATTTAGTATTTTGGATATTGATTAAGGTGTCAATCGCTAATCCCCATATGGAAGCCCTAACACCATATGGGTTAGAACTTAGAATTATGTTAAAGATGAAAAGCCATTTATAAAGGAAGAAAAGCAACAGGTGGGTGATGGGGAAGTTGAGGTGCTCATTCATTGCAAATTAATATTGTGGGGAGGGAATCACACACAAGAAGAGTGCAAACAAATCAGTGTGCTATGGGAACATTCTTTTTAATTCTTCTTCATTTTGATTAGGTTTTTCATTCCAGGATTTTTCACCTGGTTTCTAAGCGTTTTCTTCATTTAATTATCAATTTGATTTTAATTATTCTCAAAGCAAAACTTATGTTCTATTAAATTATGATAACAATATTTTTTGATATTTTGAGATGGAGAGTTTTCAATTTTGTAACAAAAAAATGGAAAAGATTTGAGGATAAACAAATATAAGATTCTTACAAAAAAATGAATAAATAATTATCAAAATATTACATTATAATTTTTTTTAATATTTAATACAGTTACATTTATCGATATTTAAATAAATTATAATAATTAATTACTCACTTATACTGAAAATATATTAAATTACATATACCTATTATGTAAAAAAAATAATTTATAACCAAACAAATTATAAGTTAGTTTTATTTGCTAACCCACGCAGTATACAAGTTTATATTTAGTTTATTAAAATTGCAATACACGACGATAATAGGATAATCCACATTTTACCGTTACAAAAAGTTATATATTAATAATTTAGCGTTGAATTAATCACTCAATATTAGTATTATTTTTTTTTTATTTAACGGATACTAATAATATAATATTGCAGATTTATACTAGCAAAATAGTACATCATACATTGAATAATTTTATTTTTATAAAACTTATATATTATTAATATATCATAGTATTAATATAGATGTAATTTTTATAATGAAAAAGTATGTATTAATAGAAATATTTGTGTTATAAATTATTGTTTTTAGTGTATTTAAAATCAGAGTACGATGAAGTCTAGCTGGATATAGTGAGAAGTTATATGGTTTAAAAGACATTATCCGTACCACTATTGTTAAAAGAAAAAGAAACCTTATCCTAATTACATTCACACCATTAATTAAAGACTTTTAGGATTTTGCCAATCCCATCCATTTTTCATTTGGACAACTCTTAAGAAAAAAAAATTATAACACTTATCGTCATTATACTCAACAAAATACAACTATTATTTTCTTTATTTTTGGTAACCCTGTTGGCCCTAAAAAGTGGTAATTATATTTGTGAGGACATCAAATTCCCATCACATAAAAACATCCTCCTAATATGAAAGCCAAAAGAAATATTTAACTTTTCCATATCCAATAACACTATAAGGTTTAATTAGTTCTACTAACTAATCCAAGTATGATCCATTTTTAATTAATGAGTAAACCTTGTTGGGTCATATTTGATTTAAACATAAAAGCATGTCCTTCATATGCATCCATGCGCTTTACAGTGCACAAATTGGATTTGCCAATACCCGATTTCCATCTTCCTCAATAAAAAGAAGCAAGTTGAGCCACTCTTCCATTATCTAGCTAGTTTTACACACCAAATTGGGTAAGTAATTAAAGGGGGGAAAATGATTATATGAAGGATTTATGAGGTGGCTTAAATGTAGTGCATATGCCCACAAATCCCTTTCAGGTATCATAAACTCTTTGTGCTAGTTTGGTTATGTGCCTCTAAAATGTATTTCAATATAGTGCCTAGCCGCCCAAGCCTTTCAGTGTTGACACCTGTTTATTCCTAAGAGTTGAATAGAAAAACTATGGTTTTAATTATTAATGTGTTTTTACTTCCATCTCAGGCACTTGTTCTAATTGACTAGTGGGTTATGGTATAGAATTATTTATATTGTTTTTGCCAATTAAGGTTTTAAATTGTTGTTCAAATAATAGTTACAACTACAATATGAAAGTTTATATATAAAGCTTTTATAATCTCATTATGATCATAATTACAACGGCATCAGTCACATTTATCTATAATTATTTGTAATTTTAATTAAGATTTTGTATGTCTTTGTAACTTCAGTTGTAATTGCAATTTAAAACTACTAACCTTGATTCCTAGTTAATGTTCTCTTTGTTTTTCATTATAATTAGATGAAAAAAAGAAAGAACAATCCCGTTTATCAGAGTTAAATCTATTAATCAGAATTGTACATCGAGGAGATGACCAGAATCTTGTATCGTGTACTAAAAGTGAAACAAGCATCATAAAATTGAAAAAAGAGGTAGTGTATGGCATCTGCTAAAGAACATGAAAGCAACAAATACCGTGTTTCTTCTTCTTTTACAAGCGATATTGGTAGCCAAGAATGATATCAACACTTTACTTTTTTCGCTTTAATTATTCTTCTCTTCTTTTATTTTTCTGTTGGGATGTGAACTCTTACTGATAAACCTAACCACTTACAAATCTACTCTGTTAGATAAAAATTAAAATTATTTTTTAGAATTAATTCATTAATTATGTGTTTGAAATATATACGGAGAGTCACCAATAATAAAATAGGTAACGAGTCTATTAAATTTTGTATTTGATATTTTCAACTAGCTAATGAATGTCGAACCAAAATTAGTTCAAACAAATGGTTATGTTTATTGGTCAAAATAATATCACTATTTTATCTAATATTATTGTTTACATCAACGTATCAACCATAATTAATTGCTTTTATATTTTTTTTGAATGAAAGTTTGAAAATTTTGTATACTATTGTTGAATTATAAATTGTCTTATAATTTAAAATGACTGATTTTTATAAAAATTATATTTAGGGTGATTTAGTTAATATTATATTTTTTTTAAAAATTACAATATATTCAAATTAAATTTATTATTTTTTACGTAACAAAACAAAAGAGACAGAAATATACAAATTTAAAATTACTTATTATATGATACAAATTTTAATAGTAGCTTAAAAGTATTCGATCATAAGAAAATTGCTATAGGTTGTGATTTTTTGTTTTTCATCGTTACAAGGTGAAGTAAATAATTACTTCCGATATATGTTTTAAATTTAATCGTAGAACGCTTTTAAAATGGATCATCAACTGCTACAATCCCACTGTAATGAGCAATCAATTTTAAAACCTTTTTAATTAATATATTATCATTTAATCATAAATGATCATATTAACAAAAATTGTTAATTTATGTAATAATTAATATAATTATATTTATAATAGTTTAATTAATTAAATAGTATAAAAATTATACTAAACAACGTTAAAATTAAACTCTAATAAAAATTATACTCAAAATAATGGGTGTGTGACACTACTACAGTAGGGCTTGATTTGCACTATTTTGGTCACTGATCTTCTCTTTTTTATTATTTCTTTGCATTCAATTGATCAAAATATCCATCTTTTTTTTCTGGTCGGTTTCGTACATATGCTTTAAGGGCAACCCTCACTTGTACGTCACTCAACTCTGTTGACTCAAATTGAAGTACTCACCACGTAAAAATATCTGTTTCATAGTTTTGACAGGGCCTTAATCTTGCAGGTAATGTAAAATTTAAAGAAACCAATTTGCACAAACACTATAAGGCGACGTTCATAGGAAACTTTTAGTTTGTGCTACTCTTGCAAATCATTTGAGTTATTAGGTTGGTTCTCTAATGATAAATTTATTATCAAAGTAATGATTCAATGTCCCTTTTTGCCATCAAATTTAAGGAACAATTTGATATAAAAAATAACATAAATTTGTCATTTTATAGTTAAAAATTAAGTTAACAATACTTATGTTTACAAAACACAAAAACAAGCTTTACTTTTAGAACAATATTGAAGAGTCAATCCTTACCTGTGACTTAATGCATGAAACTCTCACTTATCCGTATTCAGTGAAACTTGAAAAAGATGAATGTATGCAATCTCTTTTATGAATATATAGGTTATTTTCAAAATTAAAATAAGTGATATTTTAAATCTTAAGAAAACAACTTTACCGTTAATTGTGGTTTAAACTCTCTTATTAAAATTCAGTTAAAATTTCTACTAGCTCGATTGTAAAATATTTTTCAAGAAACACTTTACTACCATCAATTACAACAAACAACACAGTCAAAACTCCCATATCAAAATATTACCTCTATCGTTCAAAGACAAGGATCAGAACACAATGCATTAAGACTAGCTAGCTCTATCTTTGAATGTACAACTCTGTACAATTTGTTAATAGCACAACTTATGTTAAAATTTAGAATCTTTTCATTAACTATGAACAATTTGTAATTTTGGTATAAGTTTTTGCTAAAAAAAATATAGTTTGAAATGACTTTCAATTAATTAAGAAAAGTATTAGCAACTCGAAGCTTTTATGCAAAAGGATATAACATTAATAAAAAGGACAGATAAGCAAAACCAAAACTAGCATATTTCATTCTCAGTCTAATCTTGCAAATAACTTTTTTTAAACGTTCATTAGTATTGACAGAAAGCCATTTTAACATTTGGACTATAGCACGGCTATAGGTTTGATTCTAATAGACTGCAAATTAAATTAAATTAAATTCAATGGTGTCTGACTAATCTTGCTAGAATGAATGGATACCTAACGAGCTCCTTCAGCGTTGTTTACCGAAAAAAAAAATTGTTCATATCATATATATACATATATGTGTTTAAATACTTAAAATTTGATGGATAATAATATTTATATCAGTCTAACAAGTTCAATTTCCTCTTTCTTTATATTACCAGGTCACACTCACGCCCACGCATGCAATACTCAAGTCTAAAATCAAGTTCGCAACTTGCCATGCCGGTGA